TATATATATATATATATATATTATATGTTATATATATACATATATATTATATGTTACATGTATATATATATATATATATATATATATATATATATGTATATTAAAATTATGATAAAGAAGGTGATGAATGCAAGAAAATATGAAAATATCTATAAATTCATATTTTTATAACTATTACGAAAATGATACAACTCGCAATATTTCCAAGACTCGAATAAGTTATGAGATCTTGTAACAATATTTCTGCAAAAATTGATGTAACTTTCAATTTATGAACTTTTAACTACACCATCTTACTTACAATATAATCCTAACATCCTAACATCGACTAGGGAAATGGTTATAGATCAAACTCTAGAAAACGTTCTTATATTGTTTCAGTTTAGACACTTTACTGATATAAAGTTTTGTATAAAAAAATTGCATTGCTTGAAACGCCGAGAAAACGAACATCCTCATGCCCATTAAAGAGATGAGATTGAAATTAAGTTAAAATTAGATAAAAATAATTTATCCGATTCGGTAAATATATACTTGTTTTTTTAATGAAGTAATTGTATAATTATTTTGATCAAGTAATTATATAAATTCAATGCTTCATGCACATATTATACCTATTATATATATTATAAGGAATTATTATAGGGAATACGGGATCTGCATAGGCGGTGGTTTGAGAAAAACAGTACAGCGCATTAGTAGATAATAATAATAAGGTGACCATACATAAGCAGGGGCCGTCCCGAGTTTTTTATTACAACTACCCATCAAATATCTGAGTATGCTTATATGAAACAATACATTATATATGAGAAAAATGATCGAAAAATATAAGATATAATGCAAAATATATCGAATAATAAAGATTTTGCTAAAGGTCAGTAATTTTAATTAATAAAAAATTGATTTAAAAATACTGATTCATATAATACTTAGCATAAATATGCACATATTATATGTGATTTATTACCTATTATCACTTCTAATCGTGAAAGAATCTATATGTACATATATTGATAATGCTTTGAAGCACATGTGGCGTTTCCACGTTCTGATTACCGAATCGATAACATCGAGTATGAATTAGCGCCCTGTTGTTTATTCCAGCATATGTTTGTTTGCACGAACCGCTGCTATTGTGGTTTTAGCAGCCAACAAATGTGGATTCATTTACTGAATCCTAATAAAATTGTGATCAACATATCGTTGCATTGTATGGAATTGACAATATAAATTACAAAATCAGTGAAGACTGTCGATAATGATTTCCCATTATTTTCTTCAGTTCAAAAATGTATATAATGGACAACTACCCCACTAGTTGTGCTTTGTTAGTTGGGGCATATTTTCTACTGTATTTGAACAGTATGTTAGCAACTTTGAATATTCGCGCCAGCATAGATACCAACATTAAGTCTATGCTGTATCTTGTACATACTTCATATAAGTCGCCATGTTGTTTTGATTGTCATGTAAATAAATAAATAAATATTCGGTCTTACTTAACTAGACTCGGAGGCGTAAACATCTAAATGGTAATAAATATATATCCTGACTAAATATTATTGGTTGTTATCATTATATGCGTGTATTATATTAACTTGTGATTTAATTTCAGTTAGCCAGAGTTGAGGTATTTGATCTGTGTGATAAATACTGAGTGAATGTTAAAGTTAAGCATCTAACAATTCAGAAGTGCGAATGAATTAACCCCACAGTGTGAATGTTTGTGTTGTTCTAATAACGTTTTGGTTTCAGGTTTATTAACGAGTTTCTCTTTCAGAAAAGTCTTGTTGTGTCAAACGAGACACGTGTTTGAGGTTAGCGTCGGGTGTACTGTGTCGAAATCGTGTGTCGATTTTGAATAGTGCGTGTAACTTTGATCGTGGGAGGCGATTGTGATTGTGAACATTTTGTAGTTTGTTGTGTTTCAGATCCTATTAAAATGGAGAGGCAGACAGACGCGTTCGAGATGTTCCAGAGTGCCATAAACGCCGCGGGATCGAGTACCGCCGAACACGTGAGGATGTGATGTTAGAGATGATAGCAGGTTATTGAAACGTACTGAAGAGCCAAAAGTTATTTCCACGCGGAGCAGACTTCACAAAGACCATAGGGTATTTCAATGGTGGAAAAGGTGGTGTATCCGCAGAGGAGTGGCTTGAAAATTAGACAGCACACAAGACTATGCGAAACTGGCCGGATAACATCATTTTGGAACATGCGCGGGCCTACTGATTAATGGTGGCCGTGATTGGTATGACATGAAGCAGCAGTACCTGAAATCTTGGGATGATTTCAAGTATTATTTCAGAAAAGCTTTCATCCTAAGCGGAGGAGAAAATTTAACAGCTAAATGGGAAAGGATGAGAAAGCGGAAGCAGCTGAAGTCTGAGGATGCCAATGCGTATTTCCATTCAAAAACAAAATTGTGCCAGGCATTACATATGAGTTCGAGGAGACGAAACAGCAAGTATTGAACGGATTGCTAGACAAACAGCTGGTGTTATTTTAGCTGCTGAGAAGCACACCGATTATGATGAACTGGGTACTAGTATTTTAACTCACGAAAGTGCCTTAAATGATTTAAAGTTCGAGTCGGGTGAGAGCAGTCAGTCATGGAATACCACGAAAGTAAAGAGTAAGGTTGGAGAAGATATTCAACAATCTGGAAAAAGAATAGTGAAGTGCTACCAATGCAGGAAAGTAGGACACTTATACAGGATTGCCCAGAACGGAATAAGAATAAAACTGAACCTGACACTAAAAATCCTAGTGGTGAAGTGAAATGGATTACTGATAAAGAGGATCAGACATCAGAAAAATATATGAAACGTGTCACCATAGATGGCAAAGAATTCAGGGCTATGGTGGACGCAGGAAGTTTCATATGTACAATAAAGGCTTCATTGCTGAATGAAGGAAAATATCGGAAGGTGCATAAACCGATGTAATAAAGAGCTGGGGACCAAAGAATTTTAAATTGGAGTCACCCGCAGCCATAATCGTTACGATGGAGGTAGATAGAATAAAGGCTAATAATGTTTATGTCAGAGTGGTGCAGATGATGCACAGGACATTGACGTGATAATCGGGCGCACATTTACAGAGTTGCCACATATATATTATACCACAGAGGATGGTATATTAATGTTCAAGCAGAACGAAGTCAAACCAATTGTGGACATAGAAGATGTGGAACAGAAACCCGAAACGTTGACAAATCTACCCGAAGGAAAAATAAACTAATTCCTTGTTTAATAATTTTAGGTCAAATGATAACACGGAGTTGTACAAGGACCATGCAGCACTGGACCAGGACGAGGTAAAAACTGGACCAGGCGAGGAAGGCACTGGACCAGAGCGGACAACACTGGACCTAGAGAAAGCAGCGCTGGACCAGGAGAGAAAAGCACTGGACCTGGAGAGAGCAAAACTGGACCAGGAAAGGAAGGCATGGACCTGGAGAGGGCAAAGTTGGACCTAGAGAAGGCAACACTGGCCAGGAGAGAAGGTACAGGACCTAGAGATGGCAAAACTGGACCAGGAGAGGAAGGCACTGGACCGCAGGAGTATTACACTGGACCGGGACAGGACAACAATGACCCAGGAAAGGATTGCACTGAGGCATGAAAGATTCCAAATCATGCAGATGAGAGAGAAGATGGAACAATCTCATCGAATTTAGAGAGATTGCCCAGGCAAAAGGCAATGATTGAGAAAAATTACACCTAGAGAGACAAACCAGATGGAAGAGGACCCCAACAGACTGGCGACAGATACCAGCGGACTGGAGGAAGACCCTGAAGCAGCAGAAGATGGGCAAAGAAGACTCTGGACTGGGAGAAGATCACACCGATTGGGAGAAGAGGACTCTGGACTAGGAAAACCATTACTGGACTGGGAGAAGGCAGTGGATCGGAAGAAGAGG